TAATTGACCATCAGAACTAACTGGAGGTTCCAGTATAAACACAATATCAACAAATGAAAACAACTCGAATACCAAAGACCGATTCACCCCACTTCTCCCCACATTCTGTACTAATATGCGGAGCAGCATTAATCAGCGGGAATTGGAGCAAGACCTGTCTGAGGCCTTCAGTGAGGTGGCAGCCAATACCGCAGTCTCATCTATTTTTCTGGTAGTCTCCTCCTGAGCAACCTTGCCCATACCAGAAGAGGAGCGTGGAGTGGAAGCCGAGGGCCGCTGAATACCAGGACATGCAGGGTCTCCTGTAAGGTGACCAACAAGAGAGCAAAGGCGGCAAACCGATCTGACATGAGAGCACAGGGATCCCTTGGCAGCCCGGCAATCCTTTACTGGACATGAATGATCAACCGAGTAGTGCCCACCATCACAAAACTTACAAGCAACTGGGGCTCGACACATAACTGCAACGTGTCCACGCTGAAGACACCGCTGGCAAATAGAGGAGGGCTTGACATCAGCCCAGATAAGAAGTGGACGTCGCCGGGAATATACCATAATGGACGACCGGTCCAGGGCCCACTTAACCTTCTGATTGAGCTCCACAGAGAGTATGACAGAGCCCAATACATGTTTGCGAGATTTGTGTCCCTCCAAACTGCCAACCCAGTGTGGCCGGCCAATCAGGTGAATGCCAGGGTTGGACAGCTCAATATCTCTAACCATGTCATCAAAGGCCTCATCCCCATGCCAATCCTCGACCTTCCAAGCATTACCAACACCTGAAGGGGCAAAGGGAATATTTGAAGCCAGGATCTTAACCTTCTTAGTGTCCTGGCAAAAGGTGAATGAATGCACTTTCAGCTCCATCAAGGCCCGTTCCATTCCAGCAACCAGTTTCCAAACCGATAGGGCGGAGTGCTCAGCCAGGGTAAGTAAGAGGTCCCCAGAGGTCCGGTGTTGCACACAGGATGCAAATCTGGCTGGGGAGGAGGAAGAGGCAAGTACCTGGTTTAAGGAGGTCTTGACCATTTCTGTGTCAACCCCAGAGGGGAGGCGTGTCTTCGAATGCCGGTCATCAAAACGAACAGTCACATGGCGCTCCCTCACTGTAACTGTGGGGGCAGGGGGTAGGGATTTGAGTCTCCGGCGCTGGACTAATGTAAATTCCTTCTCACTCTGAGTAGGGGCGGCTGCCCTAGCATAGGAAGGCTTAGCTGGGGGTAGGGGAATATTCGAGGGCCGCAGTGTCACTACCGATGGTGAGACAGGAGCTGGTTTCCGAGGCAGGGCGGGAGCCCGAGCCAACGGTACAAGCACGGGTGCTGCAGTTTTTACTTTCCCAGGAGCGGGAGCAGGAGTTAGCGGTATCGGAACAGGGGTTGGAGTCCTCCCTTTCCCCGGGGGCTTGTCTCGGTGCAGCAAAGTCCGACCATGGGTGTCCTTGTCATCCTCTAACTCACGAACACGCGACTCCAAGCGGTTCACATGATTCCGGAGGGCATGAACTGTATGGTCAAGATTATTGAGCACAATCTTAACAAAGTGCATGTCCATTCCAACTTCTGAAAAGCGTAGGTATTCGTCCGTCTGGTCAATCATTAAACTTTGTTCCATGATAGGAACCTGAGAGTCCAGAGGATTAACAGAGCTATCGGAACTTGCTTGCCGGGAAGCTGAGGCCCAAACACTGTCGCCCATCCCATCCCTCTCGGATGTGCAACCACGACCTAAACTCATGGGCAAATCCAGCACACTGCCATCATCACTTCCAACTGCAGGTACAGCCTGCCCATATTCCATCTCTTCTAATCCCCCCAACATGTCTACTTCAGCTGTGGTCAAAGTGGATACCACCCCTAGCGAACCATTATGGTAGGCCGGTGAATCACTCACAGTTTCAGCCAAGGTGGATGGAAGGGGAGGCATAGACCCATAGTCCGTAGACTGAGTCCCATCCCCAACTAAAGCAACCTCGTCCTCCTCTTGCACATCCGGGGAAGCATGTTTGCTATCCCCAATCCCATTTCCTTCAGTTGTCCTGCCTCCCCCCAGGCCCATGGAGACATCATGTGGGGTACTCTCAATCTCGTCAGCCCAGGCCACATTTCCAGTTGGCTTAAGAAAGCGACGGCGGCCAATTTCGGTAATAGTCCTATCGGAATGGTAAATACCCGGCTCACCACCGGTATCCATAAAGGCATCAACCTTCTCAACAAGTGAGAGAGTATGCTTGGTGGTGGCAATTGAGCCGTGGGAGGGCAGTCCAGAGGAGGGTAAATGTGGTATAGCCATTGCGGCTTCACCTACCACCAGGTTGTTTGATGCTGCGGAAGTCCCAGCACTCGCAGTGTGGTGTTCACCCACCAGAGAGCCAGTACCTTGTGAACCGGTAGACTGGCTGGGGGCAAATGAAGAAGAAGGAGGGGAGGGGGTATGGTGCCTAACGAAGAGACCAAAAGTATCATCTCGAAGTACCCGACAGTCGGGGCAGCCGAAGGCAATAAGCATAGAGTTGACCACAAGCTCAAACTCCGAGGTAAAAGAAAAGCCAACCCTGTTAACATTGTCCACAAGTGAGGAGGCAAATTCCTCAGTGGTATTATGGCAGACTTCACAATGACGGATGTTGACGGGCATGCCGGAGGGGGGAAAACGATAAGAGATGACCGTCATAGGAATGAGGCCAACAGTAAAGTCCATCGCTACCATGAAGGTGGAACAGGGAACCAAGAGAAGCGGCGAAAACCCACACACGAGCAGATACCACGGGAATCCTGAGAACACAAAGTATCAGCGGGCCAAGCCCCAGATATGAAAGTAAAGTAATGGTAAATCGTGAGGAGTAAAGGGGGATTGTGGTTAGTTGATAGGAACAGTGCGTGTAGTTTAGCGGAGTGGTTTTTTCTTTCGCTGTGTTTGTAACGGCAACGGAGTCGTTCAGTACAGCTTGAAATAACTTAACAAGAGGAATAGGAATTGCATGATACACTTGCCTCAGACAAAGAAAGTTAATACTATCAGGTCCTGGAGCCTTGTGAGGTGCAGATTTGAAGATTGCATCTTTTACCTCATTGTCAGTAATATCGTACCAGGGAAAGCACTTATCTACTTCTGTGTCCTCATGGCTGAAAGTTGTTTTGCTTGCAGGTGGATTAGGGAACATGGCTTCTCTGAATATCATGCACTTACTATCAAAGTCAGTAGCACACTGTTGGTCAAAATAGAGGGGAGGAGTTTTGAGGGACTTAGTGGGTCTAGTATACTTAACTGCAGTGATGATATCCTGACCTCTATTATTATTCTTATATGTCATTATCTCGTCTTTATTTTTTTTTTTTTTTTTTAACTCTAGGTGTCTATTGATTATGGCTCAACGACGTACATGTAGCTCGCGCTATGGCATTCCAAGGCCTTAATTTCAAACCTCCCCGCCCCAGGCAAAAACCCGCCGCCCCAAG